CGTTTGAAAGGTAATAATAATATGAAAGCACCTGCCCTTTTGTACAGGTAAATTCCACTGCACCGACTTTTGTTATCGATATCCATACTCAGCAGCGCTTTTAAGCCAACGTCCGCATTTTAATCAAACGAAAGCCAATTCATCATCTTTGTTTTTTCCTTTAGATACACAATCATAGTACAAATGTGTGTGTGTGCCTGTATTTTTAAACTTTTCGTATATGTACATACACATTTTCCGCCTGCCACTTGTGCTGATTTATACTTGCACCGCCACCAAAGCTAACATCCGGCAAATATATTACAACAATAAAAATATTTGCAGTTATATCTTTGAACTTTATTGCTTACTACTACAAATTTCCAAATTTTTATTTATTTATCTACATACAATCGCACTAACGTACTCACACTCGCTTCATTTCTTGTTTCCTTTTTAGCAGCACTGCAATGGACCTAAAAACCGGTGGACTACTCGTGCCGCCAACTGTTAAGAATTCAAGCTGCTCCCATCCACGTTATACCAGTCACAATTTCATTGTACACATCGGCATTGCGGAGACGATCGAAGCGGTGCTCATACTTATATTGACGCTGGGTGTGATTGGTGCCAATTGCCTGGTTATATTTGTTATAAACAATCGTCGTTACTCGCCATATATACATCAGCAGGTGGGTTAAGTAGAATTTCAGAGAATAGGAGTTTCGAAATTGTGATATATGTATATATTTCAAACATGACTGAAAGAAAGGGAAACATTTTAAGAGAATTGAGATATAAGATTTGAACTGTAAATGTGAAATGAGACAAATACGTATGCCGCAGGTGAATAAAGAAGAATATACTTAGATATACATATACAAGTAATAAAATAAGATTTACCCATATTAAACTAATTATTAGGCTTAGCACCTCTTTCTCAAGTACCCTTTAAAATTTATCTGTCAATTCAATAACGAAATTTGTGTTTAAAAGGCAGATAAGTTTTAAACCTAAACTGGAACGCGTTCTCGGTCCACTTGAGAAAACAAACCTTAACGAAACAAACTATAATTGCCTTTCAAACCAGGGACCGAGAATGCGTTCCAGTTAAGGTTTAGTCTACATGAGAAACTTTAAAGTCAGCAACGTTCCCACGAAAGAACCAAACAGGATCAAATTATTGAGAGCAGTTTAAATGGAAACAAAATGAGAACAAATTGCTTGGGAACATTTTCTCAAAGAACAAAATGCGATCAAAACTCTCGGGAACGTTCTCAAGAAGAACAGGACGAGGACGAAGAATCTTTCGGGAACGTATCCAATGAGAACAAAATGAGAATGCGAGTATCGATACCTTTTTTGAGAACTAAACGAGAATAAAAGTTTTGAGGACTCAGCGTAAAGATTGAGAGGGGAGTCTGCATGTTGGGAAGAAACATCGTTGCAGTGAGAACCGCGATTTTTACATCTAAGCCAGATTTAATTTGCAAAGTTATCTTGCAATTCTTTTTTAATTAATTTTAATATTCAAACATTTCACACTAGTGAACACTATGTGAAAATTTTTTCTCTCTAATCCATTATTGGCGAATTGATCAAAGAATATTTGTTCCCGTCTCGTTCTCTGTCAGAAAGTTCCTGAGACTTTAGTTCCCAAATTGTTCTTCGAGAGAAAGTTCTTTAGACTTTTGGTCCATTTAGTTATTTTTAAAATGTTCAGAAGACTTTTGTTCCCCTTTTTGTTCTTTTATAAATTTTCTTAAAAGTGTTGTTCACATTTTATTCTCTATCAAAACATTCCACATTGTTTTGTTCTTATAAAATTCCCACTAAGAATGTTCTCGACAATTTTTTCTCCCTTTTGGTTTTACTTTTGAAGCGTTCCTGGGAACAAAAGTACGTGAAGGACATTTAGTCTCGAGTATACCCTTTGCTCTCGGTCTCTGTTTCAAAACCCAGGCACACATGATGAGTTGTAGCTTATTTATTTTTTTGTTAACTTTCATGGAATAAACTGATAATGCGAATTTTATTACTGCTGAGGTTCCTAAAGCAAGTCCGAATATGTAGTGAACGCCACGCAAGAAAGACTGCTTTCACTGCTACAATAGCCCTTCATGGAACCGAAACATGAGGACTGAAACCAAGGATTCGTAAAGTTTTATTAAATTATATTAATATTAAAAGACGGGTCAACTAGTTACTGTAACAAGGATGATCTATGGTAAAAATTTGTTCTTCGTTCTTTTATCCACGCATAGTTAGGAAACTTTATGTGATCCCTTGGTCCAGTTCATGTGCTTCTAGCTACGGTTACACTATTAACTGAAGCTTGGAAGTACTTAGTAATAGCTTCCCAGTGGCACACAATGTGCTCTTTTGCATAGTCCTGCATTGGCCAATAATAAAGGCTAAGTAAAACAAATCTTACAAAGTGCCTAAAGGATATCATTAGGGTTTTCGTTCTCCGTATCGATATACCCGGGATGAAGTAATAAGCATGTTTGTTACCTTACAGATTTATTCAACAATTTCGACGTCTACAAGACGGGCGAAGCATATCGACTGCTGAGGGGAAGATCGACCTATCTCGGCAGCCAGTTCGAAAACGCCCTATCTCAAAAAAACTTTTCAAGAACGCCCTATTTCAGAATTTTATTGAACAACACCCTATCTCATAATTTGGTTGAAAAGCGCCTTATCTCACTTCAAAATGTATTGAAAATGTTCTGATATAGGCGTTTTCGAACTGGCTACCGAGATAGGTCGATCCTCCACTCAGCAGTCGATATATGGGTTTGGCCTTGTCAATGTATGTGTGTGTTTTCGCCTTAAGGAAATTGTTACTGTTGTATAATTAAGTCACCTTAGGGTTATATTCAGCGCATTCTTCAGAAGATTGGAGTTAAAGGTCTTCAAACCCACTTCTCATTATGATGACATTGTTATCTGCTTAACGTTTACCATCGAAGCACCTTTCACTAAGAAAGCAGATTGGTAAGGAGACCCTCCCTTTGGACAATCTTTCGTAGCCAAGAATCTATTACAAAATGGATTAAAAGGTCTTTTGCGCCAAACATAATTGTCTATTTCGGAGTTTTCTTTTTACCGAAAGCACCCTCTATATCTGACTCTGAAGTGAATGTGTGGTAGACCTTCCTAGAAAATAAGCATACTTACCTGTATGCACCCATGAAGTTAGGTTTGGGTTTCAGTTGTTCCAAACAAAGGTTTCTAATGGAAATTTTGCAGATGGTTCTTTGTAACACTACGAAAACTGAACGCAGGTCATTAATTAGTCGATGAAACTTCGCTGGACGATAAAAAAATTTCTGATCCAGATGCATGGATGCATGTTATGCCGGAGATCGAGATTGATGACCAGAAATAGAGTAAATCATCTGCACATTGCAGCTGAAATACGAACTATGCCGAACTATGGTAACCGAACTACTATCCGGTTCGTACGATGAAGCTTCGAGCTCTCAAAACAAAATGTTGATCCAACCAACAGTAAAAAGGCCTGTATCTTCATTTCTAGTAACTTCTTCAGATGCCATTTCATATCCTTCACAAATTGCCTTGCTGCTAAATTTAATCTATCAAAACCAAGTGCAAATTTAAATAAATTATCCAAGAAAATATTATTTTAAAATTCAACTGTGCTATTTTCTTTGGTTTCCTCATAATTCACTTTTATTCCAACGCTTTATACTATCACATTTCAACGAAAATTCACATTTCCTTTCTCGTTGCCTTTTGCAGCCACGATATCTGCTTACCTCCTTGGCTTTAAATGACCTCACCATTGGACTGCTTATCACACCGTTTGGACTGTTGCCAGCGCTGTTCCATTGCTGGCCATACGGCGAGATATTTTGCCAAATACAGGTAAGAAGAAATTGGCGTTGGCGTTGACGCTGGCGTATGAGAGACATGAAATACTTTCCAAGTCAAAGAAAAAGAAAATATTTCCAGCGATAAACTATGCGAGTGTATGTACATATGTAGTGCACCTTGTTAAATATTTGTTGTGTAATGCAAAATAAACATAAAGTGTTATACTAAGCTTTGTTTTGTTGCTTTTGTAACACGTGTAATACAGATAAAGTGGACAATGTGGCTACAACAATAACAATATAGGGCAACAAACTTACAGCCAACTTAAGTGGCTGATAATGCCAAACAAACTAGAACTAATGCGCTTTTTACTAGAACGAGGAAGAAGGATATACTACATTGCAAATGATATACGTGGCTGTGTGTGCGTGCGTTGAACATGCCATGCCAAGCGGGTGGTATAAGTCAGTGAAATTCCAAAGTGCAACGTCGTGCGAAAATACGAAAATAGTTTTTCACTTTCTCTGCGAATTTGCAACAATTGCCAAATTGCGCTAAATTCCATGACAGAGAAGAATTAAGGCAAAGGAGAAGCAGGTTTTTCTAGTTGCTTTGTTGAGAAGTCTATACATTTAATCGATTTGCGAAAAGTTAAAGCGAAAATTCGAGCAGTTTACATTGTTGTTCAACTTTCAATTTTGCATTGTAATGCATGCGCCATCGATTTACTTGAAACTTGCGTTGCGGAAGTGAATTTTAAGCGCTCTTCTATTGAAGTTGCGCGGCCATTTTTTTTTAATTTCTTTTAGAGCACATAAGCAAGAATATGTAGAGATTGAAAGCTTCGAAGGTTTATGGGGAGCTTATGCTTCATACTGATGCTAGATTGAGCAATTAGTAATACATAGTTTTTTTTTTTGCTAAAAATTCCTATCTAGTAACGCAATCAGACGAACTGTGTGCGGACGGTCGGTGCTCTAACAAGAAGGTACCCCCTGTCATGTCTCTGGCTATAGTGCTGGCTAGTGATAATAGGGCGGGAAAAAGTAAACTCTCGGGGAGGTTTAAATTAGAGGTCAATTAGGGCTTTGGGTGTGACAATGGTCTGTTCAATTTTCAGAACTGTCTCAACTGTCTTATTGAGCTTGGGCTTTTTAGGAAAAAATGGAAATAGGACCCGTATCATCGTACTGTCTCCTAAACTGCCTCTCATTTGCATAAACTACCCCAACTCCAAGGTGGAACAGCGTATTCCGAGTCATGCATGACCGAAGTGTGGCTGGTTCCTAGTTTGCGGATTCTGGATACGAGTGAACCACCAGTTTCAAGTAGACTTACCATGAGATCGGGATTACCGTGGTGTACTTCCCACTTCTCATTAGTCGTGGAAGCAAAAAATTAATGGCCATAAAAATAAAAACCTAGATTCAAATGTTCGGTATAATGCTCAGAAATCATCGCTCCTGGAGCAAGCCTGCATAAAAGAGATCAATCCCACTTTGCAAACAGACATTGGACGAGCGTAAGGATACACAGAGGTGTTGTCGACGGAAGCCATGGGGTCACCAAACTCAGCCAGAGCAGCAAGAGCTCTGGAATTAGTATTCCACTGTCGTCGAGCTCAACTATCCGTCTGGTCTAGGCTCCGACAGATTTATAGCACGGGTATTACCGACACTATCAGTTTGTGTTCTTCTGTCCAGTTACTAACCAAATTTGGCACATTTGGCATTTGGTTGCAAGATGGCAACCTGAACACAATTCAGGCCTCGTCCAGCTCAACTCCAAAGCGGGGCCATTTATCCCGCAAGCCGTAGATGGTACTAAACAGAAGAAGAGGCTATACAAATTACCAAAATCAAGTTCATTTCTAACGCGAAAAATTAACGACTGCGTTTCTAAGAGAAGTTGTGAGGCTATCACAAAGCAGCCTCGATAGTCTCATTTGGAACCAATGAAAGCCATATAGAGCAAGGTGGTTAGTATCTCGAGCTGGGCTGCATTCGAACTAACCGCTTGGAGCCGAGCAATTTTCCAAGCAACAGCAAGTAGTTATTGACCTCACTATTGAGGAATCGGGGGATAACGTAACTCCGGCGGGCCATATATGCTTCCCGCGGGCTGTGGGCTTCCGTCGTATTCTGCATACCAAACATATCAAAGCCAATTGTAGTCGTAATGTCCCTTCAGGGGAATTTCGCGTAAGCGGAGTGAAGGGTGTGACGGCTCTGGCGTCCGAGTCCAAGGCTACCAATCCTGAGACAGTTGGAGGCCCAGTTGGTGGAAGAGTCTACGGCCTTCGAGGTCTTACCAGAGACTTACCTGGTACCGCGGCGAACAGATGCTCCTGGAGGGTGTTCGTTGGTTGGATAAGCAAAGCCACTGAGACGAACTAGCCTGAAAGACAAGCCAGATGCACATGTGAGATTGTACAGCTGGTCAGATTTGCAAAACGTGGCTCGTCAAGCAACTCGAGCATTCACACCCCGGGCTGTAGTTTACTCCTCAGTAAGGCTAGTAAGACTTGCGAGATTAGCGAGACGAGCGGAATGAATGAGGTGAGTTAAGCGACTCGAACAAGGGTTGTTGAAAGTCCAGGACTGGGATTAAAGAACAGCTGGATTAGTAAGTCTTGTGAGAGGAATGAGATGAGCAGCATGATTATGGAGGTTGTTTTTGGGTAGCAACACGGTGAAGCTGTTCTCCGGTTAGGGCGACAGTGTTGGAGGTTATGGCAAAATGGTAAGTCTGACTAGTAGTGGGGTTAAGCATATGTATTCTGGTAAGTTTAGTAAGTCGCGTGAGTTGAGCTGGTCGAGCAAGTCTGGCTGGCGGGCACTACTCTAGTCTGTTCAATGAGATACGGTACGGCCCATTCGGGGAGTATCACCGGTGCTGTAGATTTATACCTAAACTCGCAAGGATACGATGTGGAGTTGCATTTTCAACTGGGTGCCGGGGCCCAAGGAACGGCTGAGATTTTAGGTAGGTTTCGGCTTTACCAAAGTGGTAAGTGTATCCGCCCCACAATGCTTTTGGAACTGAAATGCTTGCAGCGAAGTCTGTTCTGGCTTTTCCATGTTGGATAAGGAAACAAAGCGAGTAGGTCTGGGGGTAAACGAGGACAAGACGAATTATATCCTGTCGTCAAAGAAACAGTCGGCGCATTAGAGCCTTGGAAACCACGTCACTGCAAACTTTTCATACGATAAAGTAAATAATTCAATACAGCTAATACAATAAAAAATAAAATAAAATAATAGTAATTTTTTATAGCTTTCTATATGGAATGAGAACCTTACAACAGCACTCAGAAACATTCATTAAATTAGCTCTAACGAGCACCGCATATAGCGGTAGCTTTCGAAAAGGTGAAAATCATACATTTAATACTTGCGCCGGATATCTAATGTTCGGCTCCGCCCGAACTTAGACTTTCTTACTTGTTTAAGTAAGAAAACTTACAAACTAAAGGAAAAAATTTAATTAAAAAAGAAGAAAAATTCCGTTGCCGAGGATCGAACTAGGATCACTCGAATGGCACGAAAGTGTTCAGCCCACTGGGCCATTACCACTGTTACAGCAACGTTATCGAAATTTAAATTTAATGGAAACAAAAGAAAAAGTTCAAAATCAATCGCTAAAAAGATAAGTAACGATTTTTCTCAACTTGACTTTAATGTTCATTAAATGCCGTTGACGAATCATTAACTGACTCTGAGAGGGAATTTTATCAAATCGTTACTGAGGAACACCTTAAGCGGTGATGGGCAGCGCCTTGCTCGCGGGCAAAGCTCTTTCAACCTTCCTATACGTTTTGTATAGTTGCGTGTAGATTAAAAGCTATCCCTGCCCATCACTAACCTTAAGTAATCATTAAATGACTCTGAGTGCGGCTGTTAGAAATTCAACTCTCACACTGAATGAAGATTAGTTTGCAAATACATATAAAAAATTAAATCACCTCCTTCGTGGCGCCCCAACTGACGTTATTTAATGTGAATTTCAATACAAATACAAGCAAATGTTCCTATTATCTAGCACATATGTATGTATGTACAATAGGGTGGTCCAACAATGCATGTGAAAAAGTAAAGTCGGAATTATTATGCTCCCCTAGGATTGTTTTATACCAAGAAAAATTATAGCCTTATTTTTTTATTTTGATATCATAAAATATTTAGAGGTCGCTGAAAGCGCCCAAAAGTTGTTCACGTATTTTATAAGGGGGACAAAACAACTTTTCGTAGAAGTGGTATAGAATAGTTAAAAATCATCGCAACTGTAATTTATAGGTCCACCAAAAACACACAAAATGCCCAAAAAATGCAATGGGGCGACGAATAAAAAACCGTTAGTGTTAAAAAAATGGTTAAATAAACAATTGGGTATTATTACTGAAAGTCGTCCGAAGAGTTTTCCGATCGAAAAATATGGATTTTCAATAATTCTATACCATTTCGACGAAAAATTTTATTTTTCCTATAAAAATATATGGAAAACTTTGAGCAACTTCTAAATATTTTTTGATTTCAAAATAAAAAATATGGGTATACTTTTTTTCGATATAGAACAATCCTAAGGGGTGAGAGCATACAAATTCCGACTTTACTGTTTTTGTGCCACCCTAATGTACAACCATCAACCCCGGTAGGCATGTTGCACAGGGCGTATGAGTAACTACAATACGAGTACTAACAATGTACATACGTGTGTACATAGTAGTATGCCTCTGCGGGTCGCCTTTTCTCCAACAATTTGCAATTTAATTTCAATCGAATTAATCACCGAATTTCCGCCTACTCTAAGGATATAATTAATGGTGGCTTTTGTACTGTAAGCTGTAAATTTATCATTGTGGCTAACGTTAATGCGCCCACAACAATTCTCGAAGTTTAAGTAGCTGGAAGAGGGTAAAAGCAATCAAGTCTAGCTAAACACATGCAATCTCAACCACATATACGAATGTATACATAACACACCTACATATATAATTAAAACTCATGCACAAATTGAATGCATACACCCCAACAAACATACTGCGTATCGAAGCGGCATACAAAGTAAACTCATTTGAAATATATAGATATACTACCGACAGAAGTATCAAAGCTTGCAACTAAACGCATGCAATCAAGCGAAAATACAACACTGCACATATATTTATATGCAAATTTGTCATTAGAGTAGAAGACATTAAATTGCGATAGAATATGAAATTTAAAAAAAATATCAAATGTTCTGCATTTAATGAAGAAATTTTGTGAAGCAAATAAAAACGAGTTTCCACGCAAACACATACTTACAAATCGCACATATGTAGTGCGTTTGTATATACATATATATACTTGTATACACAATTTCGCATTTCACGTATTACATTTTGGCTAAGCAACGCGTTGCTGCTGCATGGCTGCATAAACAATGAAATTTCGCGGCAGTGGCTTTAAAAATTTATTTCCAGCCACATTTTACACCTGTTTGTTTTACACACGCAGCATACGTTGTTAATGTATCTCGCTTGAATTTCACTGCGAAATTGTTAATTGCTTGCGCGCACAGCTAAAATGTGTACTGCACACTTAGAATTTTGTTGCAAACGCTTTTATGGTGGCAAGCGCTATGAATAAATGGCGATACAATTTGTATACGCTCAAAATGAACTAAAATCAAAACTATAAATAGGTACTAAATAAATTAGAACTATGACACATATTTAGTATAGCAATTTTGTGGAGTGATAGCGCGAGGTATTAGTCTATCGATATGTATAATAAAACTGTTCTTTTGGGCGCATCATGTAAAAACTACTGAACCGATTAAAACGAAATTTTAGAGGATTGCTCCAAAATGGGTTTTATATGAAATTACAATCAGTCCCATCAGTTGGAAAATATCCTATATCTATATATGTTTGAATTTTAAGTTCGTTTGTTCAGTAGTTTGCCACCTGTTTTGAAAATTTGTTTTTAACTCAATTTATAAAATAAGTTAAAAATCGCATTATGGCTATTAAACTTAAGAGGCTTAAGAAGACTTAGAGCCAAAAATATTTTTGCGGCAGTTTGCCACCTGTTTGAAGAGTGTTATATGTATAATAAAATTGAATATTACATTACGAGTATTAAACTACTCGAAAATATTTTTTAAGAGGGTTGCTACTTGTTTGAAAAATGAATTTAATTTAATTGAAACGATGAATTACATTTTTGGTCGAAAATATTTTTGAGGCAGGTTGCCAGTCTTTAAAAAGTTTATTTAATTTAAATAGTAAGAAAGATTAAATATTAAAATAAGGGTATCAAACTAAATAGGTTTAAAAAGTTTACGGTCGAAAATATTTCTAAGGAGGGTTGCCACATGTTTGCAAAATGGTATTTATGTAATTAAATTGCTAAGATAAATTAAATATTATAATATGGGTATTCAACTAAAGGGGTTTAATAGGGTTGCAATTCGAAAATATTTTTGAGGCGGGTTTCCAGCTGTGTGAAAAAATCATTTTGTTAAAAATAGTAAGATAAATTAAATATTAAAATATGGGTACCAAACTGAAGAGTTTTAAATATTTTACAGTCGTAAATATTTTTGAGGGGGATTTCCCACTATTTGATAAATTTAGTTCAAGAAAAGTGTTAAGAAAAACAATGTGGGCGTCAAACAGAAGGTTTGTAAGAAATCCTCATTTTCGTTGTTGGTGTTTCCGACAGGGTAGAAGCTTGACGTATTATGATATGATTTTGATATTTCTGAAATCTTTGATTTAGAAATATTTTTTCAATTAGGTTTTCACCTATCTAACTGCCGGTTTCACAAAAGCAATTTAAGCGAAAAATTATTTTAATTTTTTGATTTTTATATGGAAATTGACAGAAAATAAAAAATAATTTTTCATTTAAATTCAGATCAACTTAATACTTTGAAAATTATAAACTTAAATTTTTCTTTACAGGCTCTCCTGCGCGGTGCGCTGTCTCAACAAAGTGCAGTCATATTGGTCTGCATGGCTGTGGATCGATACATGTGTGCATTGCATCCAAGGAAATACTATCAGCATTCGAGTAAAAAGGTAAGAGTAGTATTTTAAGTAAACTTTTGCATATAGGTGGTATGTGAAATGAAAATAATATATGCAGCTTAGTTACCTCAAATATGATATTCAAGTGGGATTTGTGACGGTGATACATACTAACATTGTATGTAAATTATGGCGGGTAAGTTTTTGTTTACTAAACGCGTATGGCATAGGAAGATTCTACGTCTAAACTCAATTTGCAGTTTGCCAAATTGCGAAAATAAGTTTCTTTTTCTTAGTATTTTGCCGTAGTGTCGCAAAGAAGTGCTTAAATTTTGTATAAAAACAACCTACAAGGAATTTTTTGGTATCAGAAATCCATTTCTGGTCAAAGCTTTTTTATTAAAACTTCTGGCAGGGGCGCTACAGTGAAACTTTTCACATTTTTTTACGTGTTAAAATAAAAAAAACGTAGTGTGCAAATTTTAAAGCCTTAAACTTCGCGCTGATCTCTGACGGCGTTTCTTGAAATCTTTTTTTAATATTTTTTATAAAAAAAAGTTTGAATATTTTATTTATATAGTTTTTGTTTCAGTGGGAACTGTAATTAAATATATAAATATTTACTTTATTAATTTACAAAATTCTACCTAATTTTTTAAGTGGTGGTACGAACGCGAGATTTTTTTTTTGAATTTTCTTTAGCCCTGAAATCGAAATTTGTTTCTTTGTTTTTACTTTCTAGTTCGGAATTACTGCAATTTTTTTAGTCTTAATTTTCGCTCAGAAAACATAATTCCTTTCTTAAATTTTATTTTTTGTTTAGAAATTTAAATATTCTTCTTAAATTTGTTTTCGCGCAAAAAAGTTCGTTTTCGATTAAAAGAAAATGTATTTCTTGATTTTTTCGCTCGAAAATAATAAAATTTTTTTAGTCTTATATATATTTCGCTCAGAAAATAAAATTCCTTTCCGGAGTTCTGTTTTTTGCTTAGAAACTAAATAAAAAATTTGGTTTCACTCAAAACTTTTTTGGCAGCCATGATTTTTTCTGACGTTTTCAAGCACTTTGAAATCATATAAAATTTAAAAAAAAATTAAATTGTGCGCAATTGTTGTTGTTTTAGATTGAAAATGAGAATTGGTGTGTGTGAGTTTAGGCTTTGAATTTTAAAATAATTTTAAATAAAAACGTCAGACTGCCTCTCAATTGTTTTATCGTGATCAAAGTTAAATCAGATAATGATTTTTGTTTTCTAAGCAATTAATAAATAGCAATAATTGTTAAGCAAAAAATCACAACCGACTTCAATGCAAGTATAATAATTTAGGAGTACTGTTAATTTCTTTGCGATCAAATGACTGGATCAAGATTCTTATGGGATTAAATTTGAGCTACCTTTTCGATTAAAAATGTAACATCGAAATCGGTTCACGTACACAAAAAAAAACTCCGACGAACTGATAACCTCCTTCTTTTCTTGAAGGCGCTTAAAAATAAAGATACTAATTATTAAAAATATTTTTTATTAAATTTATGGTCATAACCATTCCTGGTATTGGTTTTTTTTGCAAACTCAAGGAACTGGCGGAGAATTTTTTTTTTAACCAAATTTTAATACTAGTAATACGAGTAAATAATATCTACAATCATCTTTGAACTACTTTGTTGCTTCTGATGCAAGTGAAACAATTTCGCTTAAAATTAAAAGCATTATTCGTTAGCCAACTACTTGTCTCAACATAAATTATAACACAAAACCACTAACCTAAGCCCCACTTTCTGGCGCCTTATCAGCCATATCGAGAACGCATGCACTTCAACCGCACAACAAAAACGATAAGCAAACAACTTGGCACTTCAAAAGCTGCGTAAGAGCCTGCGTGCGGAGGCTGCCTAGCCTAACGGTCTTAAAATGAAAATTATGTGAAAACAAGTGAAAGAGGGAAGAGTGAGGCGTAAGGTTTGTCGTAGCTAACGGGAGAGGCCAAGCAAAGGAAGGAGATAGTATAATCTCAAGCAACAGACTAATAACAAAACATGGGAGGGTGCAGCATTTTGTAAGAAAAAAGTTGTTTTATCTCCTTCTCTAGCGCGTTGAGTGCTAAGCTTAGATAATTTTCTCGCTTTTTAATATTTTAATTGCACAATAACTGCAGTCACGGGTTTGCAGCTGGCAAGTGTATACATACATATACATATGTACATAAATAAACAAATGTAAGAAACTTTAGAAATGAGGATGGACGATGACGGATCGACAAGCTCGCAAAAAAGAATTTTTAGGTAAAATAAATCTAAGAAAATGAAGATAAAGCACGCAGAAAATATTGTGCGCCACTAGTTACGAGTACATTGATGCTTAGAAAAGCTGATAAAAGAAACCAGATTCGCGTAATACGATAATCGGCAAAAAACACACACACACATAAAATATTGCTGGCAAATCGAGCGAATGAAGAAATGAGGACAATAGAAATGGATAAACAAGGCGAACGTACTACTATGTACATGTGTATGTAAGTATGTAGCACAACAATAGGCGCCTAAGCCGAATGGGAGACGTAAGTGGTGCAGGAATCGAATTTTGTATAAAAAATAAAGAAAAAATGCGAATGCACAAACTCGAACATGCAAAAAAAAAACAATATGTGCCGGAATCCCTACATGATTGATGCGTTTATTGCATTGTTATTTACCTTGTATCTATAAAAAAGCAATACAGGCTAACAGAAAATTTTACTCGGCGATAAATAGTTAAAACAAATAAATAAATCAAAACCAAAATGAGGACGCATGTACACAAAATAAAGAAAATGTTGAAAATATTCGAGCAATAAGTAGAAAAAAATGTCAAGTATTCGAATAACAAACGGGAAATAAAGCTGCAAGGCCGTGTAGATGGAGAGAAAGCGAAAGCGTAATTTTGTGCGCTTTTACACATTGCCCATGACAACAGCATCGACCCCAATTACGTCGTTAGTAACAGATAGTTGGCTTACTAAATATAGAAGTGCCAAATGTGGTAATTGGAAAGAAAATATACATAAATAAAAATAATAATTAGCTTGACAAAAAGAACGATGAAACTTTCAATAAGAATTGGCAGCATAAAACAGAAAGCTAAAGACAAGCGCGGCTGGATTGATTATAAAGAAGAGAGTAGAAATATAACTTAAATATATGGTAATCGGTAATCGGGCACCAGCAGGGTTAATAAGGAATCTACAGGAGTAGTATCTTTAATTCTATTTGGGCAAGTATCGTCTGATTTGGCTATCACCTCGATTAACCTCCCCAATGGTTCGTGTCCACACGACACTTGGTCGGACACAGAAGTCTGTGGGGATATGTTATGCTTTGACTTCTCCGTAAATACGTGAGCTGCTAAGGCAGGTTTAATACTCCGAAGATTTGGAGGAAGGTCAGAGTTACAGTTACACTTCTAATCTACAGAGACCTCTAGTAGATCGAAGAGTTCTGTGTAGCAGTTGCATAGACACACGCACTATATAAAGCCACTCTTCAGCTCAGATGCTACGCGAGGAACTATTAAGCAGTACGAAGAGAAATCGAGGGAAAGAGAAGTTTTTTTTTTAGAGAAAGAAAAGAGCATCAGAAATGCGACTCAAAAATTCAAATGGTTTCAATATCGGCGCATACTCATCGGCAGAAAGATAAGCGATAGGCTTGGCAACAATAAAATAAGCATACAGATCTGCACAGCAGCCCTCTGAGAGGCGTTCCCTCCCCACTTCTCCGGAGTTTGTCAGTAAACTCCTTATTGCTGTCCCTAGGGAAAGGGGCTGCGACGTCACTGCTTACGCTGACAATCTGACAATTGCCATTGAAGGTAATACGCGAATAAATATTCTACGCTCTAATAGGGCCACGCTTAGAAACTGGACACAGATTAGGGGACTCGGAACGTACCCCGCTAAAACGGAAGCAGTTCCCTTTACAAAGAAAGACAGGCTACCCACAGTCACCCCACTTATTTTTAAGGGTGTAAATATTCCTTTGAGGGACAATGTTCAGTGTCTAGGACTCATAATACGCAGGAAACTTATATAGTGGAAAGAGTTAGAAAGGCCAATCATACACATGCAAACAAGTGGTAGGAAACAAATGGGTCGATTACACATTGGCTTTGTACTTCAATGGTCAGGCCAGTTTGCAAAGCTCGAGAACGGCTGAACCGCTTTTTTTATTTTGGACATCTACTGCAGACGTCTCAAGGATGGTTATAGGCTAAAAAAAATCTATATGTAAGGCGGGCATGACACCTCCCATACAATCCGAATTTTTCATACTGCATATATCTGGAAGTGTTCATTGGAAAAGTACATGTACTTGGTATAGATACTAATGAAGTCGGTTTTGCATATATTCGAAATATGCATCGAAAATCGTGTTTATTATCCGGTTTGGCTCATACTCTAGATATGTTTTGATAACGGTAAAGTCAAGAAGAGCCGCCAAGTGGCGCTGCAGTCGAGTTATTTCTAAAAATCGTTAAGTCATAAAAAATGTCGTGAATAACCGATTACATCGACGTGCTGAATCACTGAGTATGTCGAAATTCCATGTGTTACGAATGGTTGTGATTTGCCAATATACTTAGCGTTAAAGCTTCATTCGGAGCCAGCAGGATTCAGTTGGGCAGGGGTCAATCTCAAATGACCTCCATTGAATCAACCACAAGATCCATTGCGCTCCTTGATAAGACAATTAAGATATTTCGTCTGAAATAATAATAATCGAGCCGGATCATTCTTGACACCACGAAGTTAAGAGGAAAAAGTTCCTTAAATTTATTTCGTTGTACGATTAGCCATCAGATCATCGGAGAATTTCAAGAACTTATTCACGGGCATAACACTTTCGTTAGGTTATTTAAGACCGCAATGGCAATATGCCCTCTGATGACCACCACACCATAACCTTAATAGATTCATGTTGTTGGTGAAAATATTGGATGAGCATGTTTTGATAAAAAAAAAATTTGGGGCGGGACGAAGTTCATCGGGGCTGCTAGTATGGAATACTTGTA